CGGAAAGTTAATTAACAAACGGAGGCGTAACAGTACTTTTATTTAAAATTGTGTTCTGTGATAAAGAAATGGTTGTTGCACATATCACAGTTATTTTTCTAATCGTCTAATTCGTGAATACCCAAAGTTTGAATTTTTTATGGAATATTGTTTGTGATGCCATACAATAGATGGCGTAGGAGTTTTGGTTACATACATAAATACTGACATACACGCTATGTCCAATATAGTAAGAAGGTTAACATGCCATAAGCTGACATGTGAACTTGAAAATCCTTCAACTAGTTATCACTAGGTATTATTAATAAAACTGCATCATTTAGCCTTCTACTGTATTAATGGCGTGTTAAAATAAAACTTTTCAAAGTCTCATACAGATATTTTCTATTCTGTTGGAAAAATATTTGAAATACGTTTCGTTATATATCCCACGTGTAAACTGAGGTTGCTTTTAACAAACATATGAGTTCAGTAAACCACTGAGATTTCTTAGTCACCTATAGTTTACATAATGTATATTTCACATATAAAAATTGTGTGAATTTCTGAAAGCTCTAACCAGTAAAATCCTAAATCCCGTCGAGATCATGTACTTATTTTATCCACGGTTGTTGATTTCTGTAACAGATTTCTATCACAGAAGTTATCATTTTCTTCTTAGGACTGTTTTATTGTATTCTTCTTTTGTGCAAATAGTTCTTTTACTTTAGTGTGCAGACATAGCCATACTTTTCTACCTTGTCATATGAATGTAGAATATTACAAAAATATATATATATAAGCCTATACGGGTTTTGCATATAACAGGATCAAAAAAGTCGTTAAGTTGTTATCATTATAGCTGCCTTTGTTCCTTTGTCATTCTGTTGAGGTCATACTTGTTCTACCAATGAAGGATATGGCTGTAGAATTGCACATTGTACAACAATGTATATAGTAGTGTCCTACAATGGTACTGTTGCGTCAGCGAGGTCACGTGACTAGTGTCACGCCATCTATTTTCTAGAAGTATCCTGTTCCTTCGTGAATGCCCCAGCATTTACTAGATATATGTTAGTCTGGTATATATATATAAGACGCTCACAACGTGAGGGGACAATGTGTGTAGGTAGTGAGTAATTGAACTGCAGTCAGAAAGTATTGTTCGTTGTTATAGCGTTTGTTATAGAGCGACTGTTGAAAATAAGTGTATCGGTAAAGTTATATTCAGAAAGAATAAACCAGTTTTATTAAGAAAGGACTTGTGTCGCTAAAGTTTAGTCGGAAAGAAGTTACGGAAAATTAATTAACGACTGGAGGC